ACTTGATATTGTATTGATGTTGTAAGGACAAATTCTGTCTTGGTCACTCGTGGGAGTTAAAGGGTTAAGCATCTGTCTTCCAATAGATCATTGGTAAGAGCCAATTAAACTGTGTATAAAACTCGGCTTATCATTAAATTTTAAAAACATTATGCACACCCCTGGTAATTATAGAGAACTTTCTGCTTCTCTTTGTCAGTTAAGCGTGTGACTCTTGATTCTAGAATACTGTTTAATTCTTTTAAAAATAAAACGTCTCGTCATGTACCCTAACTTTGTTTCTTGTACACTTAATGACCACGTAGTTCACTTTTTAATTCAGTGCTTATTTAGTGTTGCATTACCTGAATAGTGTCAAAATTGGGACAAAATTTTGCTCTCTTTTCATCTCTGACAAGATCTTCTATCAAGTCTGTATCAATGTAAAATAAAGGAAAAAAAACTTAAATACGTGGTGAAGCAGACATCAATGGATCTACCAGAAAACTAACACAGCGTTTACAATTTGCTATGTAAAGTAAATTACGCTGTAAGAGCCACTAAGACTATACAAGTAGTGCTTGCCTGATACATTTTCTGGTTTCTCTTCCAAGACCTTTCTAATCACAGTTGCAAGATGATCGTAGCTAAGTAAAAGAGAAGAAGAAAGAAGATTTCATCTAAGGTGTTTATGTTTAAAAAAAATCCTCAAACGAGACCTCAAAGTGTAATATTACTTACACATTTAGATTCGAATGTAAACTTGTTTTCAGCAAGAAAGCCTTTGCATTTTGAAAATCACCGTCTAGATCACTGCTTCCAGATTCGCTTGCACTATCCATGGTCTTTTGATATTTGAAAAAGAAATAATCACCGATATTTCTCGAGGTCTCTTGCGGTCTAGCTTAGTCAGCCGCCATCTATGGTTTGTGTGACCATAGCAACCCTGTTCATTACAATTCAATACTCATTCGAGATTATTCGGAGTGTCGGCGATCACCGAACGGCCGGAAATTTTGCAATCGATGAATCATCGGAATTTCATCACTAGTCCCTTCACTGCACAATCACCCGAGAAGATACATTACATGTTTACAATTTTAGGCATTACTCAAAAATTATGTGGTGGGAAAGGATGGAATTTTGTTGTCGAAATATTTGAAGGAACGAACCTGCTGGGATCGTCAACGAGAATGAAGATGCCCTTCTTAAGAAAGTACTTCGTAAAGAAGAAAGGAAAAGGAGGCAAAGAACGGCTACAAGGCAAATACAAGAAGCGTGAAAACACAACTGAAATTCTTGAGGGTACGTTGTCAAATCCGCTTTTCCGATGGGAATGTATCATCAAGAAGTTTTATCCTTCTTATTGGGAAAGATCGCTAAATTAGGTTGTGTAGCATTTGCAAGATACGTCGCTGATTTTCGGTTCGACAACTGTTTATTCCAACCATGTGTTTATTTCGATCGTATGTATAAAGAAAACTGCCCGAGGCAATTTGGACCATTCAACTCTGATTCGAGTGTATCACATACTCGAAATTGTTGTTTCAGGAAAATATCTCTTCATTCTATTGTTTATATCAGAAGATAGCGATCTTGCTGCAGTGTTATTTTATAGAAGTCAAATATTTTCAATTGAAGAAATTAGTTTTCTCTTAAAATGTGGTAAAACCAAACGCTCTCTTTCCTAGTAACATTTTTGTTTAGGAATTGATTATCGCACGGCATGCCTTATTGAATTCTTTGAATAGCTTTTCTTTCAGCATTGCAAGAGGTGCGATATAGAAACAAAAAACTAAGATAGACAGTTATGTACCGAAAGAAAGGTTGAATTTTTAGTGCACGTTTCAGAGTCACTGCTATATATATTGGTTTGATGAATCAATATTTTCACACAGTCACTATAGTCATTGTGTAATTTCTAGGTCGGAAAAATGACCAGAAATATTATGATATTGCCTCTTAATTTAATCAATATAGTATCAATGTGTGGCCTTGAAGCAGTTTTTCAGACGTTTTTCTCATGCTGTGGTGTCTGGCGAAAAATTTCCCAAGATCATAATTTGGAAGAATTCTTTATGTAGAAATCCACTTGTATTTTTTCGGATTGAGTTAATATTTTTCATTCTTTAAACTTTTCCCATGTAGACAAGACCATGTGGCATTTTTCAATTACATGCACAAGTATTTTTTATGTATCCAACTTCTCATATATTCACATTTGCCCCATCTTTCTATTTTATTTGTCAAGAACGCTTGAAGAGATGTGCATCAACACCTTGCTTCCAGTCAGTACTCTCAGAAACAGATATTTCAGAATCCTTCATCATGGACTGTGCTAGCACTGATAATGCTGGTATTGTAATGGTTGCTCATGACAGCAATCCAAATAGAACACACAGTTCTCACCTGCAACCTGATTTACCAGATGCTGGAGAAAGATTGTCACAATCCAGTTTTGAAAACAGTAGAAACAATAATATGGGGGATATTTTAGAAGTAGTACAAAGACTACAGATGACTGCAGAGTCATGTCAGACTTGTACTACTGACAAAACACCCCCAGAGGCTACAAAATCAGGATACCGACACCCACCTCCATATCCTGAGCAAATGGAACACTCTATGAGCCCTTTGGATAAGTATCGACATCCTCCTCCTTATAGAGAGCCTGTGGACACCATGTCAAAGTTTGATGGAGCTAGTTTCTACTCCCACAGGGCAGGAAAAATGGCTGGTGATTACAGTGCATTCTATAATCTTGAGGAATCAAACTACAGACATCCTCCATCTTACAGTCATTTCAGGGCACTCCCTGGGCCTTCGGGAGATAGTGTTTCTCTGGACAGTAGATTAGCTAATGGACCTCCTAAGCTTAAAGTGGACAAGAAAGTCATGAGTGAATCAAATTTGAGTCCTGGTGGTTACAGTTATGCACAGAATGCACCGAAGAATGTTTCAAATTTGTATGGTAACAAAGGACTGTACAGTGCATATGGTGGAAAGCCATTCTCAAATGCTCAAGATTCAATCAGTTATGATCTGTCTTATGGTGAGCCTTACATGTCAGAAGCTGCATCGCAAAGGTTTGGATTCTATACAAATCAGGGTGCTGCATCCACAAACAATGGGTTTAGTGAAAATGGAAGTGAGTTGTTTACTTATGGAGAAAATGGTTCTACATTTTCTGGCAGAGGCCAGGGAATCTATACATCACAGGCTGAATCTGTTGCAAAACCACAAGGACCTGTCACCATGCAGCAAGGGAGATTTGGTGAGAAGTTCTTCCCCTCTGGCAACATGAATGACAAAAAGAATTTAGGTGAGGAGAAATGTTTTGGTTTGTAATTTTGGAGTAGTTCATTAAAATAGAATAGAATGTAAAAGTTAATTTAATGTTGAACATGGGGAAAGTGTTCGCACAATCTTGCAAACTAGAGGCTCATGTTAAAAACGCTTGACATTTAAAAATGCTTATTAGTGTCAGAGCCATACCACCCTCTTATGATACAGTAAGACCCCACAGACTTGAACCTGGTTGACTGAAACTCCTTGCACACTGGAACAAAATGCAATTTCCCTGGATTTGACCCCATTTTTTTGTTATTTACTATCAACTAACTCAAGCTCAGTTTGCTTGAACTCCCTGTTTACTTTAACTATTTCACTTTCCCTTAGCTCACATTTACATTTTGATAACTAGATCTTTAAGTAAAAATGTCTGTCAATAATTGTCAAAGTCTCAGAACATAGCTGAATGACAGCTTTGATTAATGGACTATGCAAGTAGTGCTAGCCTGATACAGTGCTTAATTGATTATAACATGATAAGAGTTTTGAAAACGTAATGTATTTAGCCTAACTTCCCAAACTAAATGTTCTTATCAAAAAGCTCTTATAAAACAAACTTAATGTTTGAAAATGATTGTTGATTGTGCAAGAATAGAAAAAAAAAACACATTCCCTTATTAATTACTATTAGGATAATTGAAATTTAACACCAATCCAAATAATTTGAATTCCTGCTAATTCAAACCATTTTTCAATTCCCTTGGGAGTTCCAGTCTTTGTGATTCTTCTGCATTGTCACTTCTGAGAAGAAGAATATGAAAGAAATTTGGTAATTTTGAAAGAAGTTGTTGTCATACATTCCTGGTCTTTTTAGTTGATTATTAGCTTTTAGTTGATCGAGGTTCATTCAAATTGTGCCCAATAAATCTCACTTGAACCCTTTACACCCTAACATCAATATGCATATTCTCTATACTGTCCTCTATACATTTCCTTAGGTGTTGATAAGGAGAATTTGTTCAATAATCAAGAGCTTTTCTAATTGGTGATCATTTCCTTTATTCTCGTGACCTGATTGTGTGATTCAGGGGTGACATCAAAGGGAGAAATTCCAAAGGGTTAAGGGAAAAATTTACAAAAAGTGACCACCTAGTTTTGTTTTCTCTTGGTCGTTTTTGTTTTATTGTTGTTGTTATTATTTTTTTTAAACAATGTTTTTCTTCCTCTAGTGTTTAATGGCAGTCAACTCAACGAATTAGATCTGTCTCTTCCTCCTGGGTTCCAAGTGTCATGGACTCCAGATGGGAGAAAATATTACATAGAGTAAGTTAACAAACACCAACTAACTTAGAAAAGTGTAACACCTTAAAAAAGTTGGGATATTTCAGGAGTGGAGATAGTACAGTGGTGAGAGTGCTTGTCTTTCGTTTGGTCAGTCAATTTTTTTTTTGTAATATGAATGTTCATCTGTCTTAGAGCAACTGAAGAAACAGTTCTAACGATTCATACTTCAATGTTATCAAATCTCCATTTTGTTTTAGTCACAACACAGAAACAACAGATTGGTGTCACCCACTTGAGAAAGCAGGTACAGAATTTTTTTGAAGATAAGTTAGTGTTATCAGCTGAGTTCATAAATTACATGTGTATATGGACTAAACATCAGCTTTGGAATCTCTTTACAGTCATCAATTCACATTATCAACCCAGTTGTTAAAACCATATTATCTTGTAATGTCCACCCCCCTCCCACACACTGACACAGACACAGACACAAAGAGACAGACACAGCACCACAGTTTCTCTATGAACTTATCCCTTCATTTCTTTTTCAGTTAACTTAATAGAACATACATAAATTGCTCAACTTCGATAGTATTTGATCTGTAAGCATAGCAGTTAATGTGTAACTGAAAAAAAAGAGTAATTTGAAAATTTATTTTTAGGTTTACCAGATGGCTGGGAAAAAATTGAATCTCCTAACTTTGGAGTCTATTATGTCAAGTATGTAAAAGGATATTAATTATGAATGAATTGAATAATGTTTGATTGATTGCAAATTCAGTGCTGACAGTATTTAGCAAACCCAGCAACCACTACAGTGGTCCCTCATTATATTTTTGATTGAGAGCCTGAAACATACTTAAAAGTTATAACAAACTGGAAACATGCTTTATGGCTCACTATCCCACAGAAGATTAACCCTTTACACCCTGACATCAGTATACATGTTCTCCATACTCTTTTCTATACATTTGCGAAGGTGCTGGCAAGGAGAATTTGTTTAACAATCAAGAAATTATGTTGGTGGTGATCATTTCCTTTATTCTTGTAACCTTAATATGTGATTGAGGGTTGATGTTGTAAGGAGAAATTAGATGCTAGTCTCTATGAGGGGTCAAAGGGTTAGTCTCATTCAACATGTCTATCCTTTTACCTAGCCATAACACAAAGATAACACAGTATGAACATCCAGTGAAAACGCAGTTCATCCAACACCAACAGCAGCAGGAGAGGAGAGTGTCAGATGGAGGACGTCCAGAATCACAAGCCATTCCTGCACAGAATCCCTTAGTGCCAGCAAATCCATATATTAGTGAAGGTATACTGATTGAAAACTTGGCAAATAGGATTACTTTTTATAAGACAAAAAATTCAGGCTTTGACAGAACTCTAACCCATGCCACCCTCCTCTTCCCAACCAGTATCTGGGAGGCATGGGTTCAAATCCTGTAGAAGCCAGGTTACCTACAAAGATTGTTTCTTCACATGTATATCGTCTGCAAGTGTAATTATTATTTATTTCATAACATTGGTTTGCTTTGTTTTGTTTTGACCAGAAATACCTGAATGGCTGCAAATTTATGCAAAGGCTAGCCCAGATTATGACTGTTTTCTAAAGGTAAGATTTATATGCAACTTTTAAGGCACTATAAAAAATAGAATAATCATTCTCTGTGCAAAAACTTAGTATAAGTTGGTCATGATCACTTCTCTAATTCAACTCTTGTGTGGTTAGCGTTTAAGAATACTGGAGAAGTGACTTACGGTTTATTCATGTTTTAAGGGCTTGAATAAGATCATTCATTAATCAAATTTTTTTATTATTCACGTTTCTCTAGCAGCTGTGTGTTACGTGATTTCTTCAAGACACCTTTCAATTTTGCTTTGCATGCTGTGCGTGCCTATCTTTCACGTCGTAAAATTTTGCACGATTAACGTTCCTATTATTCACATCTTAAATTTTTTTTTCCCCACGTGCTTTTTCAGTGGGATTTGTTCCGTTATGCGGAGCTTGATTGTTGGCAGACGATGCTGAAACGATTGTACAAAAAAGAAGTGGAACAGGTTGTGATGAGGCACGAGGAGTACAGACAGGCCCTGCAGAGAGAGTATGAACGTAAGCAGAAGATTGAAGAGGACAAAAGATTGAGCGATCAAGCTCTGGCGGATCTGGATGAGTTGGATAAAGAACTTGCCAAGTACTGAGAGAACCAAACATTTTTTTCCCTCTCCGTAACGGGCGTCAGGCGCGGGAAAACACCCGTGACTAAGTGGTGGTCAAGGTTGCGGTTGCATCATATCGCTTGAAAATGTGGAACATTGACGCTCAACCAGAGTAAGGCTTACATCGGATTGGTTGATTAGGTGGTGTAGTTCTCCATCAAGCCAATCACAGTAAAGCAAACTGTGGCGATTGCGCATTAGTAATCTTCTAACATCACCTAAAAATAATAATAACACCTCAAGAAACGGCACGGATCATACTGATACGTAATTCCGATTTTCAAAGGTAAAATCATGTCAGGAATATTCATATGACTAGAGTGGTCGCTAAACATCACAACCCCAAATGTTTAACTGTCACATATATGCACACTGTAACGGTAATGTTATAAGAAATTAAAAGCAAATATAGTAAATTTACATTCAATATTTTTCCTAGACTAGAAAGTCATTAGCATTTATGAATGAGTAAAACACAAAGAGGAGAGAGGTCCTTAATTAGTTTACCTCGCCTCAATTTTGTAATGTACTGTAATAAACCGTACTGTGACCTCGAATATATTTAAGAAATTAAAGTTGATGGATTTGTAGAGCTCATTTCCTGGTTTATGTTGAATTTATTAAAAAAAAGTTTTTTATACTTCCTTGTGATAGTTACTTCTGCATCATGTTCATCTATTTGCAATTCAATCTATAGAGATCGCTTGATTACTCTCTCAGACTACGGCACAATCTTTCGTTCAACAAAGTGGGATGCATAATTTACTGCGATCTTTGTCTAGACTGCGTTCAAAACATTTCGCATAATGAGGTGCCCTTGCAATGTTTCTAAAAGATGTACAATATTTTAATTCTTAAAACTCGTTCCTATTTATAAAGTCCTGTCGTTACTGGACAAACGAACGCAGGCCACTTAATGGCCAGGAAGAGGACTTTTGGGTGTCCAATTTTAAGTGCATCCTTGCCTGCAGAACCGGCGCGACTTTTTTGCGTTTTCTGGCGAACGTCTTAAGACGAGCGCAGAGTGCCACGTGAAAGGGGATGAATATTTTTCCCATTAATTAAGGGTTAGACGCAATTCTTCCATTGCACTAGGGACCAGTCTTTCCTGTGTGCATAGCAACAAGAAACATGGCGCGCAATCTGCGGAAGGTATATACCGATCTGCATAGAAAAAATTCCCCTGTAGCTGATTCTGTTCGTTCATTGCCTTCTCTATTTGTATTAAACAGGTTATAGTTAAAATTCCAGTTGAAGATCGTGAACTGGATGGCGTGTTTAATTTTCCATGCGAGGCGTCGTGGAACGGTTGTGCTGTGATTCTGACACACGGGGCCGGAGGGGATATGAATTACCTCCATCTAGAGAAACTAGCTACTCATCTCGCAAGCACGGGAATACTGTGTTTGAGATTCACCTGCAGGACAAGAAACTTCAAGTATAGGATACAGTGTTTCACAGCAGTTGTGGTTAGAGTAACTTTCTTGTTCGTGGTTGGCGATTAATTTATTGTAACGTGGTACGAGCTTTGTAATGTAATTTACGACACGGAGTCAAGAATGTCGCTTTTGTTTACTTAATTTACGGATTGGTTTAGTTTAACACCTACAAACTGCACGATTTTTTTCTCTGACTGCTGCTCTAAACTCAATAATTAGAGCTACTTTCTTCCTACTATTTATAATCTCAGCAAAAACTCATACTTAAGAAACGAATATAACCAGTCCTCGCAGTTATGAACACTACTGAACTAGAAGTTGAAATAAGGCCTGACAAAAATTC